TTTCTAAGGTAATACTATGGCGCATATTTGGAGTCGTTGCTTCGGATGAAAGCTCTTTATCCTTCTCGTGAAGAAATGCAGGATTGGGATGGATGGGCGAATCTTGAGCTTCATGGTTGACGGCCTCGTAAACGGGGCCTTCTCCAATCGACCTCTTTCGGGGCTGCTCAAAAGATACTGGTTTTGAGGGTTCTTGATGGATGGGAGGTTTGGATTCTTCGTCAACGGTGGATGGTGGAAGTTTGTCCGGTAAACCGCGTCGTCTTTTCCGTCGTCGAAGAATATAGAAGAGAGCAATAAGAAATATGAGCAGGATGAACGCTGAACCTCCGACTATGATCCCGATAAGTGCAGTTCTGTTGATCTTTGAACTGCTGCCGCTATCGGTAGCTGTGTTCGGGGATGCGGTAAATGACGAGGAGACGCTTGGTTGGACTGAGCCAGCATCGTTCGTTACACTGTTGATAGACAAGTTCAAGTTGAATAAGCACGTCGTACAAGGGAAAAATAGTAACGGGAAACCGCCTTACAGGCTATTGCTGGTGATGCTGATCTCTGTTGCTAGCGCAGATGGAGTAGTGGGCTGGAGGCCGGTTGCAGGAGAACTAGTGACGGTCGGAATACTAAATAGAGAGTATAAGTGATGCTGAAAACTAGTTTTTATCGCGCTAGAGCACACTCACGATGACCCAGTCGTCCCGGGTGGGGGTTGGCTCGTCGAAGACGAGGCCATAGCTAGTTGACCACACGGTCAATGTCTGGAAAAGCTACGAGCCCTCGAAAAAAAGTTGTGCTCAAGTGCGAGTCCAAGCTCGTCAAACCGAGAGTTATTGGTACAGGTCGAAGGAGAGAGTGGCTGTACGCCTGGGCCACCCTCAACCCTTGGGAGACACCCGCTGCGAAAAAGGTGGGGGTTCGAATGGCCGGCTAGCCTAAAATTCACGCAAACATATGGACACCCCAGACTCCAATGTTGACACCAATTCGTATTAGAATCTCGATTAATCTTACGATTTACGGAGCGGGGGAGTAGGTGTCGAGCCGGCCTTTGGATTCCTCAGTGACATGAGCTATTTCTAAGACAACGACAAGACAATAATGGAAATGCATCTATATGTCAATCAAATGATTCATGAACGGGGTTTCCGCTCAAGGGATTCGCCGTGCTTCTTGCCTCTAAAGTCCCACTTGAACTGAAGAATTGGGTAACGTCAGCGGGTCATTTGAACGACAAGATACGAACAAAACACATACCATATGGTCGTATAACACGTAGACAGTTACTGCTGGTACAGCGACTCCCCACAGAAGGACTCGTCGGGCAGCGTAGGGTGTGAAGCGAAAATTCTTATAAATATCTTCACGCTATCAAACCATCAGCAAACTTTGGTATATGCGACTTGTGAATTTTCTAACCATATTATACCATCTTTCAATGGCGGGGTCATGCTGTCGAATCGAGTTGGTTATGGCAGCGTAACCTCATGAAGAACGTACTTTAACTAGAATAAATCATGTCAGAAATATATCTCCTAACTTTACAATTTACTCACTAGTGTGATGACCACCACCCATTTTGGAGAGAGGATGAGGTTGGTTTCAGGATGGGTTTGTCCACCATCCTTGGACTAAACCACCGACAATGTCTTACCGAGACTGGGACCAACACGATCAACGTGGAATTGTACGACGACGAGATGAACATGATGATAACTGGGATTACAAGAAACGCCGCCGCTACGATGTAAGCACAATTTGCCATACCGCCCGCGTCAAAAGCCCTGCTGACTTGCGCACCAGGACAATAATTATAACGAGGAGCGTGGCTACAGAGACAATTACCGTCAAAATGACAGATATGATCATGGCCATAATTATAATGATGATGGTGGCTACTCTCGTGCTGACGACGACTGGAGAACTCGTGAAGATCCCATGGAAG